AGGAGGTAAGCAGGTTCTGCACATTGTCTGTGGCTGCTCTTTTTCTTATTTTAAGGTGGACTTGATTTCTACATGTTAAGTGCCCCTTTCCTTAATGTTTGGATAATTTTCCTCCCCCCTGATTCTTTATCACAATCATTTTCTATCCTTTCCAATATAAATTATCATTTTTTCCACTATTATTTACATCTTACAGCTTTTTGGTGATTCAATGGCAAATTATGAAAGGCTGGTAGAAATTGTTGAATTATAAATACCTTCTCAATGATATACCCATATTACAAAAATCTCACTTTAAAAGTAAATAATATCCTAAGACTCAAAAGGGAGTCCACTGAGATCTGTAATTCTCTTAATTGGCAATGCCGAGGATTAAATTCAGGACCTCACACTTGCTAAGCACATACCCTACCACTGACCTACAACCCCAGCTCAACACTCAGAGTCCCTTTAAACTTCTAAGCACACTTCGTATATGCTTGCTTCAGAGATCTGAGGGAGACTAAAAGAAGTGAACTATTGCAGAATTAAGCCAACTTTTCCCTGCTGCTTTTAGTGTCCGAGAACTGTTTGCACATTGATTTTCTGCACATAAATACACATAAAAGGCCAGTGAGCCATCCTAACAAAATAGGTCAAATAGAAAAAAACCCAAACATTTCCTGTGTGTTAACTTCTTGGACTATGACGTAAAATCAGATGGTGTTTTGGTATCTTAGTGGGAAGGACAAGGGAATCCGACAGCATAAAAATCTTGCTGTAGTTATGAAAGAGACCTCCTGTTGTAACCTCATGATGTATAACTAGTTTGCAAACTAGCAGTCAAGAGAAGAAAAGAGGATTATAGAAAATTTCTTTTTCACACCTTGCCAAATTCTGAACTCTGATTTCCTTCAAATGAAGTATCTTCATTTATTACTCACCAAGAACAAACAAACTAAATAAAAGAAATGGCCAGTGTGATTTTTTCCCCTGGATAACAAGCTGGCTGTTCTGTCTTTTGAGTGGAAGTATTTGTCATTTGGGAGTGAATAACTAATATGTACTGCTTTTGCATCTATGGCTAAATCAAAGGCTTTAATTGTACAGAGACACTGGCAGAGTAATTATTTATCCTAAAGTAGGGCTGTAAATTAAAAGTTATAATTAAGCCCTGGAGTAAGTAGATGTCTATTTCACATCTGTTGTTGCTAAACAGTTCAGGCATTGTTCCTCTACTCATTCATTCATCTGTTCCAGAATAGGGGTCCATGGTCAACGTTTTAATGCCACCAGTGCCTTTTCTACTTCTGAATAAATGCCAGCCTTCACTCCTCTAATCCAAGTGCTTTAAAATTCATCTGTTTATATGTGACATGTAATTCAGATTATTTCTTGTTTTTCTTTCTTTTTCATGCTATATTTAAATCTGTACTTAGACCTATCTTATGATCTTTGATACTTTAAAAATATTTTTCATCAGCATATATATTGCTCAGTCCTATTGAAGGGTTTATCTATAGTTTACCTTTATAGAATTGGATTTTTTGCTGTTGTTTGGTTTGTTTTTTTGTTCTATTAGGGATTAAACCCAGGGTCACATACATGCTAGGCAAGTATGCAGAAAGCAGTACATAACAGTCATTCACTTCTGAAACATTTACCTCTCCATACCTGCCAAACAGAAATTCTATATGGTAGAAATACTCATGAAAAATTGAAATATTTTAGTCTGTGATAATTTTATTTTATTTATTTTTAAATTTTTTAATTCATTTATTAACATGTGCATACATTGTTTGGGTCATTTCTCCCCCCTCCCTACCTTCTCCCTTTCCCCATACGCCCCTTGCTTCAGGTAGAACTTGTTCTGCCCTTATCTCTAATTTTGTTGAAGAGAAGACATAAGCAATAATGAGAAAGACAAAGCATTTTTGCTAGTTGAGATAAGGATAACTATACAGAGAGATTCCTAGCATTGCTTAAATGAACAAGTGTATTACAACTTGAATTGATTCATCTCTACCTGACCTTTTCACTAGTTCCTGATCCCCTTCCCATATTGACCTCTGTCACTTTAAGGTTTCTGTATTAGTTCCTCTGGAGTGGGGACATCAAACACTTTCATGTTTTGGGTTTCCTACCTATCCTCATACCTCCCATATGTGCTCTCCCCTTAGCATATGACCCAAGTCCTACAATATTGCTGTATTTGCCCTAGATCTAAAGCTAGCATATGAGGGAGAATATACGATTTTTGTTCTTCTGAGCCTGGCTAACCTCACTCAGAATGATGTTCTCCAGTTCCATCCATTTTCTTGCGAATGATAAGATTTCATTCTTCTTCATGGCTAAATAAAATTCCGTTGTGTATAAATACCACATTCTCTTAATCCATTCATCAGTAGTGGGGCATCTTGGCTGTTTCCATAACTTGGCTATGGTAAATAGCGCTGCAATAAACATGGGTGTGCAGGAGCCTCTGGAGTACCTGTGTCACATTCCTTTGGGTATATCCCCAGGAGTGGGATTGCTGGATCATATGGCAGATCTATGTTTAGAGTTTTAAGAAGCCTCCATATTTTTCTCCAGAGTGGTTGCACTAGCTTGCATTCCCAGCAGCAGTGTACGAGGGTCTTTTTCCCCACATCCTGGCCAACACCTATTGTTGTTGGTGTTTTTGATATGGCTGTTCTAACAGGGGTGAGGTGGACTCTTAGTGTGGTTTTGATTTGCATTTCCTTTATAGCTAGAGATGGGGTGAGCATTTTTTTATTTATTTTTTGTCCACTTGATTTTCTTCTTTTGAGAAGGTTCTGTTTAGTTCAGCCCATTTCTTTATTGGTTCATTGATTTTGAGGGAGTTTAGTTTTTTAAGTTCCCTGTATATTCTAGTTATTGGTCCTTTGTCTGATGTATAGCTGGCAAATATTTTATCCCACTCTGTGGGTGGTCTCTTCAGTTTAGAGAACACTTCTTTTGTTGTGCAGAAGCTTTTTAATTTTATGAAGTCCCATTTGTCCATCCTTTCTCTTAGATGCTGAGCTGCTGGGGTTCTATTAATGAATACCTTTCCTATGCCTATTACTTCCAGAGTATTCCCTGCTCTTTCCTGTACTAACATCTGAATTTCATGTCTGATATTTAGGTCCTTGATCCATTTTGAGTTGATACTAGTACAGGGTGATAAACATGGATCTAGTTTCAGTTTTTTACAGACAGATAACCATTTTTCCCAGCAATATTTGTTGAAGAGGCTGTCTTTTCTCCATTGTATATTTTTGGAGTCTGTGAAAAATAAGGTGGGCATAGCTGTGTGGATTCAATCCAGGTCCTCTGTTCTGTTCCACTGGTCTTCATATCTGTTTTTGTGCCAGTACCATGCTGTTTTTATTGCTATTGCTTTGTAATATAGTTTGAAGTCAGGTATTGTGATACCTCCAGCATTGCTTTTTCTGCTGAGTATTGCCTTGGCTATTCACGGTCACTTGTGTTCCCAAATGAACTTTAGGGTAGATTTTTCAATCTCTATGATGAATGTCATTGGGATTTTGATGGGAATTGAATTAAACATGTAGATTGCTTCTGGTAGTATAGCCATTTTTATTATGCTGATTCTAACAATCCATGAGCAAGAGAGATCTTTCTACCTTCTGTAGTCTTCCTCAATCTCTTTCTTCAGGTGTTTGTAGTTCTCCTTATAGAGGTCATTCACGTCCTTTGTTAAGTTTACTCCTAGGTATTTGATTTTTTTTGAGGCTATTGTAAATGGAATTGTTTCCATACATTCTTTCTCAGTTTGTTCATTATTGGTGTATAGAAAAGGTAATGATTTTTGTAAGTTGATTTTGTATGCTGCCACCTTGCTGTGTCTGGGAGTTTTTGGGTAGAGATTTTTGGGTCTTTAAGATATAGGATCATATTATCTGCAAATAAGGATATTTTGACAATTTCTTTACCTATTTGTATTCCTTTTATTTCTTCTTCTTGCCTAATTGCTCTGGCTAGGAATTCCAGGACTATGTTGAATAGGAGTGGGGATAGTGGGCACCCTTGTCTTGTTCCTGATTTTAGAGGAAATGGTTTCAGTTTTTCACCATTAAGTATGATGTTAGCTGTAGGTTTGTCATATATAGCCTTCACAATGTTGAGGTACTTTCCTTCTATTCCTAGTTTTCTTAGAGCTTTTATCATGAAGTGGTGTTGGATTTTGTTGAAGGCTTTTTCTGCACCTATTGAGATGATCAAGTGGTTTTCGTCTTTGATTCTATTAATGTGCTGTATTACATTTATAGATTTGTGTATGTTGAACCACCCCTGCATTCCGAGGATGAAGCCGACTTGGTCATGGTGGATGATCTTTCTGATGCGTTGTTGGATTTGGTTTGCCATTATTTTACTGATGTTCATTAAAGAGATTTGCCTATAGTTCTCCTTTTTGGAGGTGTCTTTGTCTGGTTTTGGGATGAGTGTAATACTGGCTTTATAAAATGAGTTAGACAGTGTTCCTTCCCTTTCTATTTCATGGAACAGTTTAAGGAGAGTTGGTATTAGTTTTTCTTTAAAGGTCTGATAGAATTCAGCAGAGAATCCATCAGGTCCTGGATGTTTCTTTTTTGGGAGACTCTTTATTGCTGTTTCAATTTCATTTTGTGTTATAGATCTATTCAGGTGATTAATTTCCTCTTGGTTCAATTTTGAATGGTCATAAGTATCTAGAAATCTGTCAATTTCTTCAAGATTTTCCAAATTTATTAGAATATTGGTTCTGAAAGTAGTCTCAGATGATGATTTCCTGGATTTCCATGGTGTTTGTTGTTATCTCCCCTTTTACATTTCTGATTTTACTGATTTCTAAACTCTTTTCTATGTATTTGCCGCATAATATTTACATACATGCAAATTTGATTAGCATATATATATAAATCATACAATTTATAGACAAAAATTTAACTTTTGTTGTTTAAAATAATTAGAAGGCAATGGAGGATTTATTTATATAAACTTACTTTTTCCTTTAGTTTTGTCAAGGCAACATGCTTCACAAGTCTTGGTTAGGAAACGTCGTGCAAATTCTTTGCTTGAAGAAACCAAAAAGGGTAATCTTGAAAGAGAATGCATTGAAGAACTGTGTAATAAAGAAGAAGCCAGGGAGGTCTTTGAGAATAACCCTGAAACGGTAAGACTACATGGAAACTGCCAAGTCTACACTGCTAGACATACAATTATAGACTAAATTGTTCCAACCTAAGTTCACTTGTGTTCCATTTTAATGATTTTCTATATTACATTCTACAGGCAAACACTTCAATTTCAGGAGGAAATACTTTTAAAGGAAAGTAGGTTTGTTAGGAAGACATTATTAACATTGACAACATGTTCTGACCAAAATATAATTCACTTATACCACATTATCAGTAAATAGTGTTGAGTTAATGGTTGTAAATATTTTTCCTAACCACAATATGTTCTATGGTATATTGAATGTAGAGGAGATATCTCAAGTATAATGTGTATGTGTTTGTCACTATGCTTCTTTTAAGTCTATCTCCACTCTCCTTCTCTCTCTCTCTCTCTCTCTCTCATTTTTGAGACATTGTCTTACTATGTAGCCCAGACTGATCTCAGACTTCTGTGTAGCCCAGTCTGACCTGGCACTCAAGATCCTCCTGCCTCAGCATCTATGACTTGTCCTGAGTGCTGGGATTATAGAGTAGCACCACCACTCATTGTCTATTTATTTTTAATGAGGCTCTAGAAACAGGGCCATCTCATCTGAGCATGTATTACAGTATTGTGCATACTCAGTGTACTTTATTTTTAATCTTTCAACCCTTGGAAAGCTTGTTGAACTAGCTTTATATCAGCAGTAATCTTTTGTGCATACAACTTTCCAAGTGAGTTCAGAAAATATATAATTATGAAGACCTCTAAATATCATACAGAAATATAGGACCCCTAGACCTTATCATTAATCCCTTCAATTTTTTAAAGAGAAGATTTCTCTAGCATGTACTGTAGGTAGAAGAGTATAAATAGTGTCTCAAAGAATTAATGTGACCTGGGAGTTCAAATCAGATAACCTACAGGGTTACCACCGATACTTTTCCCGAAATGAATTATGTAACCTAGAGTAAAAGAGGAAGAAAACATACACAGAGTACCTCTGCCATGGCTCCCAGTCCCATTAGAACTGATGCGTAGGTACCAGTTGTCTGTCATTAGAGTTAATCCAGAACTGTAGCAACTTGGGTTCTCTGGGGCTGCTCCTTGTGCCTCCACAGATTCTAAATTCAAAGAGGATTTTTCTCAAAGTACCCAAAGATCATTTTATTTTTTATTTATTTGGCAGTACTGGGATATGAACTCAGGGCCTCATGCTTGCTATGCAGGCACTCTACCCCCTGAGTTATTCCACCAGTCCCAAAGCTTAGTTTTTAATCTCTCCAGGATTGGATAAAAATGTTCCTCTCTGTTTTGTTGCTCTCCTTCAACAGTTATCAGCAATCTGCTATTTGTGTTTTGCCTATTTTTTTTAATCACATTCACTCTGTTTTGCTGGAATGTTTTAAGTCATGCCTGTGTGCTTGAGATATCATATTATTATATCACTCATGAATACTTGAGTGTATATTTCTAACATTCTAGGTACTTTCTTAGATTTTAGCCTTTAAGTAACAAAGAAATTGAGGTAGAATACCACAAGGGAAAGAAAAAAAACATGCTGGAGAAGAAAAACTCATTTATGCATTTCCTCACCACTAATTCCCACATTGGTTTTATTGACAGAAGAGAAAGAGATGGCAGAGAAAACAACAAAAAAATGAAGAAAAGTTGTTATTGCTTGTCATTCTCTACCTTCCCCCATTCTTGTCCACATCATAATCCCCTTTGTCCATATCCCCAGTATTCACCCTATACTTACCTCCTCACTGACTAGCCTAATATATTCCTTTTACCATCATAACATCATTCTTTGATCCCTTTTTGTGGTGGGTAATGCTCCTGGCTTTTCTCCTGGAGAAAACAGCACTGTTGTCTGTATTGCTCAGTTTAGGTAATTCTTTGCAAGCTAGTAGATATGTGATGTGAATGCTTATATGTGAGAGGAGGAAAGAGTGAGGACTTTGCACTGGAAGAAGGCATGTTCTGTATTCACTAAGCTGAAACACTGAGTATTTTGGTGCAAAAATTCTGGTTTTGCATGAAGTGTTTTGTTGCTATTAGTGCCACTGTTAGATACATTATTATTTAAGAATGCTTTTGTAGATGAGCCAGGGAGCTGTCAGAATTTTTAAAACATTTTTCCCTTTCATAAAATGCATTCCTCAGTCCAAATTCATGAATTACAAAGTTTTCTTACCCAGCCAATTTATAACTAAGATATTACACGGACATCAGATGATATAAATGTTCACTTTAGTTCACTTCAAATTATGTCACCGCTATTCATCATTGAATCCAATGTGTATAATCATCATGACATAAAATGTGTCAAATGTGTATCTAACCAGTGTGAAAAAATTGAAAAAATTTATTAAAAGGGGATATATATGATTATGTTTACCATCTTAAGTACAATCTGGTTTTATATTACAAGTTTTTGAAACATAATTTGATTAATCAATAGTGCTCTAAGCCTAGGCATATTGCTGATTTAGTAGTATTTATTCTTAGTATATTTTACTAAAGAAAAATTATAATGTGAAAATGTAATATGCAATGTATTTCTAATATAAAAACATATTATGAAAGTAAGTTCTAATTCTATAATGAAATTTAGGTTTGCTAATTTGTATTTTTTCTTTATTTGCTTTTCAGGATTATTTTTATCCAAAATACTTAGGTAAGTCCAAAGTATCTCAGTTGTATAATCTTCACCCATATAGCCCATCCAATATAATTTCATTCCCCTTGGGACTTAGATCTTTGCTGTCATTTTATTTAAGGACATGCAGACCAATTTGGAATGGTTCTTTAATTATCAGGTAGCATTTTAGCTTTTAAGCTTTTTCATTTTTGTGTCTTCCTCATAAAGTCTTTGGGCTGATGCTTAGTTATATTAGGCACCTGGAAATTCTCTATAAATATGAGTTTTCAATGAATGGTAAGATCTCTATACTCTGTAGATACTATGGTTTAGATAGTTATCATCTAGATGTTTGTAGAATCAGTAGTAATTTCTCTGTGACACCATGTTATCACTTCCTACAGTATTTCATCCATGTATGATTTGGATATGATTTTGAGCTCTAAAGGGATGGGGTAATAATTTCATACTCATCATAGATTAGATGATTTCAATTAAATACCAAATAAAGATAACAAGGTTCCAGTTTTTGTAAAGCAAATATAGAAATATTTTATATTATTACTTGGAGGAGTTGTCAGCATTTATAAATAATCAAAGTGGGGTATAATTTGTGAACATCTTTCTCATATGCTTTTCATGGCTCCAGAACACAGAAGCATGCTCTCCCTCCACCTCCAGATTCAGAATCTTTCTCATATAGGCATCTTTGACCCCATTCTCACCCCAGCCAACTTGAAATAAAAAGTAAATCCTTGAAAAATTAGAAGAATGGGTTGTGATACCCATTAATAACTATGCAGTTAGTTTACAGTTATTAATATAATCTTGTAAATAATTTCTGTTAAATTAATTTCTCTTTGAATTTGTGTTTGATGATTGTTTAGGTCTTTATTCTTTGCTTCTATTTGTTTTATTTTGTTTTGGGTACCAGTACAGCAATTCCAGGGGCCATCTTGAGGTGGGGAATATTTATGCCTTTCTCTAGGGAACCTTACGTTGAAATGATGTTGTGAACTTGTATTTATCCTTTAAGACAATTACCAGGCTAAGAGCCCAATACCACTGGATGCAAGACCTTTTTTTTAGAACCAGGTGTCCTTTTTTATAGCTCCATAAGTGATTACTCTTCCAGTTTTTAAGTGTACTTGATGGTCAGCATCTTAAATTTATAGCACATGCTGAGCTAGGAAGACTCAATTATTACAGTTCATCCTGTTAATAACTGTAAGAATCAGTTTGGTGATGGCTCTCTTTAGAGCACTTCAAGATCATAAATTATTTAACCTTTATGAGCTATAGTTTCTTCATTTGTCAAGTAGATAGAACTAATTCACCTAATCACTTTGCAGGAAGAAATAAAATGAGATAATATTTTCAAAACTCTTAGTAAAATGTTTTTTATGCTAGTCCTTCTTCATTTTTCTTCCCTGGCTTTTCTATTTTCATTTTCTTTACTTCTTTTCCCATTTCTTCCCTCTTCTAGCTATTAATGTCAATCTTCAACAATTTCCTTCAAATTTGGAAAGGAGTCACTATAAAAAATGAATTGTGAAGTGATGTTATTTGTGTTTCTAGATATAAAAGTGGAGCAAGATTTTCTAAAACCTTTTGCTGCCATATTACAAAAGGGTAATGGGATTAAGGTCTATAGCCTTAAAAAAAATCTCTTCTATTTAAAGTTACATGTCATCTCACTTCCTAAAATGAAACCAACAGATTTGCATTATTGAAGTGGGGAAAAGATAGACTACCAAAACTACTTCAGGTTCTGAGTTTTAGATAGGAATTTAAATATTTTGCAATAAAAACAAAGTATTTGGCCTTTTAAAATTACAAACTTGCATTAAAAATATTGTATTAACCTTGCTTCTTAGCCATGTAATGAGGCTCTGTTTCTGCAGAGAAATACTCCAAAAGATATATTCCCTTTATGAGGGAGTGCATTTGAATAAAGATAACAGCATTATGAGTTTTGGGAAAGTTCCCTAGATAAAATATTTTTCTTTTTTCCTTTTATCCCTCCCGATTTCCTCTTTTTCTGCCTCCACCCAACTTTCTCTTCTCTTTCCCCATCTTATTTGGCAGCATGATAGAAAACCAACCAACTAACACACCAGGACATGGGCTCTAGTTACAGACTTAAGATTTTTCTTGCTGTGTCAGATTAAGCAAGTTATTTAACTTTTCAAGTTCTGTGCTTTTACACGTTACACTATAACTATATATTTTCTGCCTTCAAGGCTCTTGGAATATCAAGTAAGTATATACAAGTAGACAGATCTTTGTTGCCGTATCAATCTTCAAATGTCAAGTATTATTTAATGAACACACCATATACAACAAAATGTATTTAATTATGATTAGTATTTAGACTCATATTTTATATTCTGGTCTTTATACATCAGTGTAAGTGTCAAATTCCACTGTCAAAAACAGAAAACAAAATCCTCTACTAAAGTTAAACTTTCTGTCATTTAATGTGTTATTCTATGGGCTCAGTGGTCCTAATTAGGAAAAAATTAGCCATATAATTCTGTCATTGATAATCCTAGCAGTAGTGTTGCTAGTCATGGCAACTCATGCAGAGATCTTCTTAGAATGAGGCAAGGTCACTGAGACCTTGTCACTTAGACACTTCAGCATATACTTTTGGACAATGCTTAGACTTAAAATCTCAGGCACGTGGAGAGCACGTCATATACATAAGCCATGTACTATCTTGAAAGCTTTCAATATATGAATTGAACTCAGGGCCTTGCGCTTGCAAGACCAGTGCTCCACCACTTGAGCAGTACCTCGTGATTCGTGAGTTTTGAATTGTGCTAGTGTCTTCCTTAAGAAACAAGTTAAATAATTCTACCACCTTTGAAAATATTTCCTGATAGAGTGGAATAATATGGATGATTCTACTAATGGAAGAGAAACTTCCTGGGAGGACTGCTATACTCTGAGCCTAAATGTCAACATTAGAAATCATTTTAGTTTCTAGGTACTGCCAAGTTGGTAAATTAATCCAGACTGCTGACTTCATCCCTTCAAGTCATCTCTAGAGAAACAATAGGATTCCAGGAACTAATAACAAAATAAAACTTTGTAATAACAAGAAGTAGCCTGAAGGCTCGTTTAACCTGGTATGGAATCAGATCTGGGGTGCTGACTGCTAAGGCAGCAGAAAGAGGACAGACAGGAGGATTTAAAAAACAACCTAAGCTTTCAAATCAAGGAAACAAAAAGTACAACAAAGCAACCTCAAGTAATAGGAAATAAAGAAATGAAAACAATGATAGAAATAAGTGAAATAAAAACAGAATAGAGGATTAAAAAAGAAAAGTCCCATTCTTTGAAAAAGTTTGTAAGTTTGACCGACTTCTGCCAAGAATAACCAAGGAAGGAACCAAAAGAGAATGGAGAAATGATGGAGAAATGCTAATACACAAAGTACATAGTACAGGGTACAAAGGGGAAGTATTCCAAACCCACATAGATTAAAAAGATAATCATAAAGTATTCCAAACACACAAAGCCCTTAATTCAAACTCCAGAACCCTCCCCAGCATACACACCAAAATCTGGGTCCCTAATTACCACCAAGTTAAAGGTGGATTATAGGGGAAATAAGCACAAAATATTAAAGTAAAACTATGAAATTAAAGAAAAAACATGGGAGAATATCTTTTTGATACATCAACATGGAGAAAACCTTCATAAGCACAAATATGAAGACAAAATGACAAAATAACTGAGTACAACAAATGTTATTAAAATAAAATTAAAAACTCTTACAGAATAGAGATGAAAAGTAAGGTTAATAGATAGTTGGCAGGGGCTGAGGGTGTGGCTTGGTGATAGAATACTTGCCTACCATGTGCAAGTGCCTTGGCAGAGAGAGGGAAGGGGAGAGAGAGAGAGATGGTAAAATTTTTGCAACTCCACAAGAACAATAAAATAGTGAAAGCAGAGAAACGATTAAAAATGGGGAATTTTCAGAAGTGGAAACTCCCAAATTGTAAAAAACAAAAAAGGCATGAAGATATGACCCATCTCAATAGAAATCAGAAAAATAAAATGAGATCTTACTGAATTACTTATTAGCTTAGCAAACATTAGAAAGATAATACCAACCTTTTTGCTGTGTTGGTGTAGCCATTAAATGCATGCCTTATTTATGAGCCCATAATCCCACCCCTAGGTATCTAGTCATATATATATAGTGGTACTAGGAACCCAGGGCCTCAAGCATGCTAGGAAAGTGCTCAACTACTTGAGCTACATCCCCAGCCCTTTTGTTTTATATTCTGTTTTGAGACAGGGTTTCTCCTAACTTTGGCTGGGTAGGGCCTTGAATTCAAGATTCTTCTGCCTCTGCCTCCCAAGAATCTTGAATTTCAGGTGTATGACATCATGCCAAGCATACACACACACACACACACACACCACATATTTGTTTGTATGTATTTTTTTTAACAAAAGCAACTAATGGACTTTTCAAAGTCCAGTGATAATAATAATGTACCATCAAAGGAGGAGTATGAATATTTCAGCCTTGTTAATATCAACACAAGGAAACACTGAGATTTTATGTGGTTATCTGTTCTGCAATTTAAAGGCTGAAAGGTACAAAGGAGTTATTTGTAGAAAAGAGAAACTTGGCTGACTTTGGCTCTACTATAATCCTAATGCCATCTTTGGTTAGGTAGCAATGGCTGAACTACATTTTTAGACTTAAAGCATCAAAGTAGCTTAGACAGTAATGCCTGTAGGATATAGCAAAAGGAAACCAAATAGTTTGGTCCTTGATAAAATCAATAGTTAAAAAAAGCAAAAGTTTCATGTAGGATTCATGACAACCTGGAACTAAAACCTGTTCTTATGATGTTCTGTCTTGATCACTGTATCTTCTTCTGAAAGTGTCTGTTTTTTAGCTTTTTCTCCTTGGCGGTACCAATTTCTTTTTCTAACGTGGTTTCTTATGTGAGCTTCTGATTTAGACCACAAAACCTGAGACAATCTCTCCCCAACTCTTACTTTCCTAC